ACACACACACACACACACACACACACACACACACACACACACACACAAAGGCCAGATAGCTGACTTGACAGGAAATTCTTTGAAGAAACTATATTAATGATGAACTAAATGACCATGCATACAGTCAAATAACTGATGTACAATCAAATGGGAGTATGGACAAAGTAAAACCTTTAGACAGCAAAAAATATTCTGTAGCTGAAAATACCACAAGTAAAATGAAACCTTTCGTAGAGTTACATATAAAGTAATCTGAGCAAAGGTGAAACTCGGATAAAATTATCAAAAGTAAGGAATGGGGAGCTGGAGAGATGGCTCAGCAGTCAAAAACACTTGTTCTTGCTGAGGCCTGAGTTCCATGCCGGCACCCACAGGGCAGCCCACAACTGCCTGTAACTCTATTTCTGGAGGATTCTGCGCCATCTTCTGGCCACCAAGGGCGCTGCCTGAGCATGGTGCACAGACCTAGAAGCGTAACAAATTACACAGGAAAGTTCTATGTATAATTTTACATAAAACATAAATAATTTTACAAAATGCATAATTTTACATAATACACCTTACATATAATTTTACACAAAATTATACATAAAACGTTTTTAGAAGGAAAAAAGTAAACAGGTGCTCCCAGATGTGTGAACACCGAGACATGCGACCAACCTATCCATCCTGCCTTGACTTCCCTGTAAAGAAACAATAAACCTCCTTCCCCAGGTTGACTAGGTCCTGCTATCTATCACAGAGGGAAAACCTAACCTGTCATCCCAGCACTCTGGAGGCAGAAGATCTGGAGATTAGCTGGAACACAGCAAAACACCTGACTCAAAACACAAACCAAAGTGGAAGCAGCGCCAGGGATGTGGTTCAAGCAAGCGTATTCAGCAAAGTGAAACATTAAAAACAAACGATTAAAATCGTTATTAAAACAGAAACGAGGGGCTGGGCTCTGTTTGGAGCACTTGCTGCTCCTTCAGAATGCGGGCGTTGGGCTCCCGGCACCCACTGTTGGGTGGCTCACAACCACCTGTAATTCCAGCTCCCAAGGCCCCCACTCTCTTGGACTCTTCTGAGGCCACTTGCACTCACATACCCACACATAGATATACATAGAAACATGCATACACATAAAAAAAAAAAAAGTCCATAAAAAAAAAAAAAGCAAAACCAAGGGCTAGAGAGATGGCTCAGTGGTTAACAGCACTGGCTGCTCTTCAAGAGGGGAGTCCAGGCATTCACGTGACAGCTCACAACCATCTGTAACTCCAGTTCCAGGGGATGTGGACGCCCTCTTCTCTTCTGGCCTCTGAGAATGCCGCAGGGCACAGATATGCAGGCCGGCAAAACACCCATACACATAAATAAGCCCCAAACAAAGCAAAAACTCACCAAGCTAGAAGAAAACTAGGTTAAACATTAAGTTTCAGACTGAGTAATTAGGCAGAAAAAAAAAAAGTGGGGGGGGGGGGACACAAAGTTACCAGTGAAGACTGCTGCGCTTGCAGTCAGTCCGGTGTCTTAGTGTGAATCCCAGCTTTTACTCACTGGCTGGGTGATTGTTCTTTGCCTCAGTTTCCCTGCCTGTGATATGGAAGAATAGTTCATGCTTCAAAGGGAATCTGAAAAGCCAGAGTGAGAGTCACAACGCAGGATGCAGTGGGAGAGAATCTTCATCCCCACAGTAGCCACCAGGCGCCCCGGGGAGTGTGGGATGAGCCGGGCAGGGAGCCTCAGAGCTGCCCACCCCACCCAATGCGTTCCCTCCGGGAGGCCCAGCGGCAAACAGACGCAGGCGCACTGGAAACCCAGCGGGGGTGAGGGGAGTCAGGTTGTCTCGGGGACGGGAGGCGTGGCTCCGCGGTCCCTCCGCCTCCAGAGGCGGGGCGCACGCGGATTGGCGGGATGCGGCGTGCGGAGATGGGCGGGGCGGGGCGGGAGGCGATTGGCCTGACGCGCCGGTGGGCGGGACGGGCGCGCGGAGATTGGCGGGATGCGGCGCGGCGCGGTGAGTGTGCTGCCGAGCGGGGTCTGCGTGGGTGCTGGGCCGGGCTGGGGCCACCCGGGCGGCGGGCGGGGGGCTCAGCAGTGCTTCCGACCGCTGCATAGGCCCGAAATGGGGGCGTCTGCTGCGGGGCGGGTCGCCCGTCGCGTCTGGCTTGGGGCATCCTGTGGGCCGCTGCCATCACCGTGCGTGTTTGGCTTACATTGAGTTCACAATCGCCGGTTTGGCAAATTCGTAGAATCCGCTTCCTGAGCCAGAGTTGCGCATGAAAGAGAGCCGAGCCAGCTAGGGGAGTTTGAACTGTATAATAGCTGTACCAAAAAAGTAAAACGAGAAGAAAGCCGCGTTCAAAACTTACTACAAGCAGCTTGTTGTCATTTCAACTACGCATGAAGAATAAGTTGAAACACTCTATAGTAGTCACTGAAATCCGCTGTGCATTCCCCAAGCACTTCTCGTTGTGGGACAGGGGTGCAATACCTCCTTGAAGAAAACAAAAGCCCCTGCCCTCCTGGAGCTTAGGATGATGCAGTTGGCGGAGGCAAAGTAAAGGCTAGAGAAGATGAATGACGCCAACAACCGAAGTAGCAAATGTAGTTAATTAGATATGGGAAGGTGAGTTTTAAGGAAAGACTTGACCGTGAAGAGCCGGTAATACTGGGGGTAAGGAGCAGCACAGGAGAGGAGCAGGCCGGAGAAGCCGAGCAGTGGAAGGAGAAACAGGTGGGAGGGGAGGACCAGGGCGCCTAGAGCTGATACTACAGGTCGAGCCAAGAACTTGGGGCTTCGCTTACCGAAAAGCAGTCTTTGGAGAGGCTTGGGCAGAGCAGGCATAACTTTATGTTTTATTTTTATCACTAATTCTATCACAGAGGGCTTCTTTAGCAGCGCCTGGCAGCATTCCCAGAGGTAAGGCAGTTAGTAGGGAGCTGCATAGAGTGAGATCAATCATTCCATTTGAGGGTGTGCTGAATTTGAGACCCTGGTAATTGGGTGGAAATGGGGAGAAGGTGGTGAACAAGGTTTGGAGCAAGCTCCAGGTTTTATGTGGTTATAGGACACATGTACACCCGTCTATCAGGTGCAGTTTGGGCAACCTGATTGGGGCATCAGGGGAGCTGCTGCTTTGGGTTCAGGTGGGAACCGAAGCCTTTTTATTTCTCTACAGTGATGCTCCTTGGCCTGGACACAGCTGCTTGGACAGAACAAGCCAGGAGTGCCACCATGTTTTCAGAGCAGGCAGCACAAAGGGCCCACACCCTGCTTGCCCCACCATCAGCCAGCAATGCCACCTTTGCCCGGGTGCCTGTGGCGACTTACACCAACTCCTCACAGCCCTTCCGCCTGGGAGAGCGCAGCTTTA